TCACAAGATGAATTTACCCTCGTTTCAAACAAATGTTATTATTTCCAACTTATCTTGAAGCCGTGACTTGATTTTTAAAACTACTTTGTTCAGTCCATCTGCTACTTATCACTTTCTATTCATTGTCCAAAAAATTGAAAGCCTCTGCTTCCAGGCGTCTAGCCAAACGTAAGAAAACGACTCGATCTAAAGCTTATACCGACACGATTCCCGGCAGCTTCAACTAGTTGAGCTACTCCGTTAATCCAGAAGCAGACAAGCACATGTCAGTTCTCTCCATTTCAGACATGGTGAAGACTCTATTGATAAACAATGTTGAAAATCACCATTGTCACCATACGGATGATGTACGAAAGTTGTTAGTTGACATGGATGTTCTCAATCCGCTTAAGTATCTCATCAACCCCAACTTTACAGAGACTACAGATCAGATGAATGACACAAATAATTTCCCAGATCAAGTTGCTTCATAGGTGCTTGAAAGAATAAGAAGATTCAGCAATGCAGTTGTGTTTAATATACCGGACAAATATGCGCTTAAAAATATCAAGTCAAATCCCCTTACAGCCAGCAATATGACATATGTACCATGTGTGTGCACAAAATAAAAAACAAGTCACCCTGGTACGCATTCACCGATTCTGTTCAAATTTAACTAATCTGTAAACTCCAGTGAGCTTTAACCCTTCCCAATGCAGTCAGATTGAAACGGGATTTCAAGGATGTAAAGATTCCTCCAGACAGAACATCATGCCGGCGGAAAGCAGGAAGAGCTAGTTAAAGACCATTAGCGTCAAACTCCTAAACGCATCATAATCCTGAAGGTCAGAAAATCTATTCTGATTCTAAGGGGGCATCTGACTCTATTAGCCATAACTGATAAACTCTCCCGAATCTCTTAAATTTCAGGACCCAGTAAAAATTAACCCTAGTTTAAGTCCTCTCCATCTTCCTAAAAACGTTGACTTATATCTAACCTGAAGTAGTTGTGCCGATAACGAATCAACTAAAACAGTTTAAGTTCCTGTCATTGCAAAACCCGATTACAGTAACTGAGCAACGGCTGACGGGAAAAGTAGTCGTAACATTCATATAATTGACCATGCACTCAACGCCGAAATATTCGAACCTTGAAAACCATCTCAAGTATGTTTAACAACCATTGTACTCCTTACGGAAGCCTGGTGTAAATCATCACTCCTTAGACTCTCAACATTCCTTACGTTTTCTTTAGAATCGACAGATGTCATGGAATAGAAGGAGGTACAATTGTCTATGTCCGTTCGAACATTCAGGTGTGTAAAGTTGAGGACGAGTATTCTGATGTTGCAGATGACTCCACTTGAGTTAACGTAAATTGTGGATTACAAAATTATATACTGGTGGGGTGCATATACAGGCCACCTCATACAGGTACTAACTTCGAAAAATTTCTAACAAACATATTTTTCATTAGTTCGTGCCAACTGCATACGTTTAAAATCATAGGATGTGACTTGAATGTGCCGAACATTACATGGAATCGAAGTCGAACTCAGGTCGATATAACAAGTTAGTTGAAACATTGATTGTTCTTGTATGGGTCCAACAAGTCTGACAACCGACTAGGAGGAGTGATTTACTTGGTTTGTTATTTGCAGTCTACATCAAACCTCAGTGCACATCAGTCATGAACATTTTATGGGTGATCATAGACTCCTACTGAGTATTATTCATCCTCTAAACACTATACAATTGGACTCCAAGGCTGAAACATTGTACATTGTAGTTTGACCCGTAGAAAGCAATTTCTTACAGGTGTGACTATAAGCTATTCTCTAGACTGTCGAGCACAGAGTCTTGGTTTAGCCAAAGTCAGAACAAGTGAGCTATTTGGCCTGATAAATTTTATCTGTTTCTAAAACATAAATTAGCACCGTTAGTATACAATATAAACAGTGCAGTCTATTAACACAGAGAAAAACAGAGACATAAATAACATGCCGAACAGTGACTAGAGGACAGGGAAAATGAGTTAACAAGGAAAATATTGTGTTATACTGAACATAAAGTTGTGACTGGTGAATAAACAAGATATAGTCATACGAGGTCAAAGAAAGTTAATGTGGTGGTGGGCGTTTCACTTTATCACTGATGAGTTCGTTTATCGATCACACTTTACCGACTAACAAACCTGGAAGCTCACTAAAACTTTAACTCGATCTTAACCATGTGAATCATTATTCACCACAAATAATATTGGCGCTACGCATTCCGACTTATACCACAGCGTGACATATTGTGTTGATTGCACTGCTCCAATTATCCGTCATTTGGCTTATAACGCTAATGAGGGCCAGAATACTTTTAAAATCTTTGAGAAAAAGCTGAGAGAACTGAAACACCGCTACCACAAGCATCATGGGGTGCATGCGCTTCACAATATGCTTAACTGGATCGACAGAAATGATTCATCTAAACTCAAGTATCTTGTGACCATGTAGAATAAAGTACTAGGCAGTAAAAGTGCAGATTTATCAACGCCTCAGCTTTTCAAATCCTATGTGAAATCGATTCCTCTCGAAGCAACCAAATTCTTCATAGCCAACGGAAGCATTGTTGACGACCCTGATCCTATTTGCGAACACTTCAATCAGTATTTCTTGCGATGATACAACACTGTAATTAAAACCTCTATCAATACGTCTATAATGTTGGTGTCTAAATATCTATTCAAAATCGATTCCATATCGACCAATATCAAGCAGGTTATAGCCGCCCTGAAAAAGTCCTACGATGGTGGACCTGATGGGATTCCTTCATTACTCCTGAAATACGGTAGCAGAGAATTCCCATTATCTTGTTTAAAACTGTTCAGCCTATACATGGATTGCGGAGTTTATCCATCTGTGTAGAAAACATCTCTTATCACTCCTAGATTCAAATTGGGATCATGTAGTGGTATTGCCAACTATAGTCCCATTAACTTAACATCCGTCATATCAAGTACAAAAGAAAAAATCTACAGACAGCTATTAGCCTGAGTAGTTCATCTAAACGCTCATGCATCGCATCACACCTGGAGTTTTTTGATCAAATTACCCAGAGAACAGATGTTGGTCAGCCAGTGATAATTCTGTTCTTCGATTTTAATAACGTCTTTGACAGTGTCTCACACAAACTTCTTATAAAGCTTTCTTCATTTGGTATATGGAACCACTTTTTATCTCGGCTCAAATCTTTTTCAGGAGAACGTAGCCAAATTGTCCACTTTGCACCTTTCTATTTTAAGCACGTGGATGTAACCAGTGGGATTATAAAAAGAAATGTGATCGGCCCATTACCCTTTCCTCTTTTTACCGATGATGTATGCTCACTCTTTCAACACTGCAAAACTTTCCTTTCTGTCAATCACCTAAAAGGTATTTATTCATTTTCGCCTCCTACCAGAGAAAACTACGTTTCAGTGGTAATCCAAGAAGAAATAAACAAGTTATACGATCGGACTGTGTCGTGGAATCTACCACTGACAAAAGTAGATTTATTCACATTGACTGTTGCTTTAACCTTAATCTGGCTATACACAAACATACACCAAAACCTCTCAACACTGTTCATGACTTGGGTTTAAGATATAGCAGCAGTTTGAGCTTTTTCAATTACATTGCACCCCAAGTATCCAAAGCTAGTAAGTTCACTGGATTCATGACGATAAACTTTAATAACATCGAATCGAAAATATAACCATACAAAAAACGTATATTACTCATTCTTGAATATGGTATTTTAGTATACAACAATTTCAGGCGTAACGACCTGAATAAAGTTGAAGGTGTCCAAAACATGTTGACTAAAGCTGCCATCAAGGATTATCACCAAAGATGTCAACAACTCAAGTTAGATCCTATCTGTATCAGACGTAATAAATTAAACCTTGTCTTTATCTAACGGCTCATTAACGGCGTTTCTTATTCTTCGGAATCCATCCCTTCGTGCTCTATGATACCATCCCACAACCTACGCAATAAGCAAAATATTCCAGCGGTTCTGAGAACCTACACAAACTTACACCAGACATTTGTTATTCGTTACTCAACAAGATGAAATGCATTACCAATGTACCTCCTTTGTAGGAAACCATAATTTGATTCAGAAGTCTTATTGATGTTTTTTTTTTCCACAAGTGGATTGTACTACCTGTTAATAATATTAGCTCTGTTCAATAATACATTTTTTAGTTTGGTCTAAGCTTGCTAGTAGTTGAATGCGATGAGTAGTACGACATACCCACTCGGGATCTTGTGCGGATACGTGACCAAGCGCCTTCGACTAGGTGAGTAAAGTAAAACTAGTGATTTCAGAATAAAACATCGAAGACTTACAGAACCATTTATTTTGGGGATTTATTGACCGCTATACACTTATTGTTTGCCTTCTTTATCTACCGCGTATATTACACCAGTATAAACGGCTTAACGACACTGTCGTTCAAGAATTTTTTCAATACAGGGATTCCGAAAATAAGCTAAACAAAAATTTATTGATGAAGTAGTTTCGACGATGGTTACTGTGTTGAGGGAAACACAATATAGTCTGACTGATCGTTGTAAAGGAGCTCGGCAGTCATAGATGCCCCGAGACTGGTGCTTTGGCAACTGCCTTCAGCCAGGGGTGCTTCCAGTTAGAAGAATAAGATCAGAATGGCTGTTAAAGGTTTACAAAACTCTTTATTTTTGGGTAATTATCGAATGCTACGAAGGATTCCCCACTATGTAATCAGAAACGAGTCCACTTCAGTAAGTAATAGTGATCACCAGATTCTTCATTAATATTGCGGACACTTTCAGAAGCATATTAAAAAAGGATTGACACGTTTCATCGATTTTCTGTCGTTCACTCAAAGTCTATGGAGATTCTGAAGTTGATGTTGGTTATTGAATATTCTTGAATAGTTTACGTCCTTGTGCGCTACTCAGTTACTTGTTGCCAGTCATTTGCTTTGTAGATAAGTTGGAATTAGAATGTTGGCGTTTTTCCAGCGTATTCTCGATTGGATTCGAAGTCTTTTTTGGAAGGAGGAAATGGAACTAACATTGGTTGGTCTTCAGTACTCGGGAAAGACCACTTTTGTTAATGTAATTGCTGTAAGTCACTCCCGAATTTGATTGGTTCGGCAGTATACCTTAGTTTGACTATGAATTGATTGATAGTGTTTTGCTTTTATGTAGTCCGGGAAGTTTGATGAAGATATGATACCTACTGTTGGTTTCAATTTGCGCAAGGTTACTAAGGGGAATGTCACTATAAAGGTAAAATAATTCGTAGTGTTAAATGCCTTCAGATGTGGGATATCGGTGGTCAACCTCGTTTCAGGAGTATGTGGGAACGGTATTGCCGGGGAGTCAATGCGATTATGTAAAAATCACAATTATTGTACATATTTTATATAGTTATATGGTAGATGCTGCTGATCATGAGAAACTAGAAGCTTCGCGCAACGAGCTTCATGGTTTGCTTGACAAACCCCAGTTACTTGGCATCCCTGTTCTGGTGTTGGGAAACAAAAAGGACTTGCCAAATGCTCTTGCGGAACATGAGCTAATTACAGCTCTCAATTTGGGGGCTATTACTGACCGTGAGATATGTTGTTACTCTATCTCATGCAAAGAACAAGAAAATATAGGTGAGATTAATTTTATTATCAACTCTTGAGTTGTTATATTGTTTTGTCAAGACTATGAAACATAATTTTCATTTCTAGTTGCAACTACCCTCCTGACTGTCCTGATACAGCTTGTTGTATGCACTGACATTGTGTATTTAAGTTACTCCTCCTTACTTCTATTGACTGAAGTACCTGCGGCTGTAGCTGTTGATCTCAGTGATTGATTTAAAAGCATCTGGTTGTCTTTGTACACAAACGGCTCTGTGACATTCTGGAGTCTCTCAAAGGACCTTTTTTATTGAAATTAAATACATTGAACTCAGGTTTAGGATAACAGTTTTCTGATAACTGAATATAATTGTTTATCCTCATCAGCTTTATTAATTTCATCTACAAGGTAGTGTAATGTCATATTCTGCTTTCAAACAGCTGACTGCATTCTGGTCAGCAATAAATTCAACCTAACCGACATGTTACATGACTTGAAATCAAACTCGGTACCCAATATTTTTGGAATAAATATGTCAATAACTTTTAAGCAAAATAGTGGTATATATTATGTGTTTAATTTAAAGTCAATGGTTTAAGAACGTGGACTGCATTCTGCTTATTATAGTTTTAGTAAAAATGATTGGTTCGACGAAAAGTCCGCTTTTAAACGAATTCACTTTGGAATCTGTAAAATTGCAAATATATACTTATTTTTTCAAAATAATAGTAACTACAGTAATACTGATGTTAAAATTCCTTAAACATGGCAACAATCCGATAGAACGAACAAAGTTTATTTATATGAAGACATAAATATTGGTACAAAGGGGCACCGAATACATATGCTCCACACGAGTCACTTGATTCGTACTTAGGTTTTGATACTGCCTGAGTGCTCAAACAGAAGCAGGTGGTTTTCTTAGGGGATCACACCCCGAGCCTTGACCTGGTCTGAACCACATGGCAGTACAACAACGTCAGGAGATGCAGTCTCATGGTAACCGGTGACCAACGATTGGTTCGTACACCATTTGTTCCTTCAGGATCCTGGAGACTATGTACACCATTGATTTGGAATCAGGGTTTTCCAACTCCCTTAGGTGGACTATCCATGTCCACCAACCCAGTTAAATCGCCGAACATTCGCTTTTCGTCCTCTCAATTTCGTAAACAACACCCGTGTTGCAAGGAGGCAGTGAGTAGGACTTCCTTGGTAGTGGTTGTATGCATGTAGCCATGTGAGAGCATTTCGAGAGGCAGAGTTGACTCCCCCCCAGCTATACCAGGGAATTTGGGGATCAAAACGTTCTTTTCAGGGAAACTAATAATAGTTTTGTTGTTAGGGTCTTGAATATTCGTCATGAAGCTAGGCAGGGGAATTTAAATTAGGAATAAGGCTCAGGATAATAAGAAAAAAATGTTGGAATTGAGATGAACTGTAATCACGAGGATAATAGAAACAGAAACAAACCAGTTGGGGGTTGGAGATCTTTAGAAAAGATAGAAAGGAAGCAGACGGCTGTAAACGAATGAAAGTATATAGAAAAGTGAAATCACGACCATGGTAAAAGAAGAGGTTGTACCAGCTTTTCTTGTAGCATAATTCTGGTTTTCCCCGATTAACCAATCCTTATTTTATGTTCCAATGAGTATATTCAGTTTAGGTAAACAATTTATATCAGCCGACACAATAGACATGGCTCATAATGTAGTTCATGATTGTAAGTATCAATGCCAATAATATTATTCCCAGGTCTCAAATTGTTAAGTCACTAGAACGTTCGTGGAGATCTATTCATATTACTCAACGTACATCACAGATCTTTTTGCAAAAACTCATTCGTAAATGTAGTTCATGTTTGTTTTTGGGTCATATCCTATTATTTCTTTGTTTTGTTTTTACTGATACTGCTAGTCGTGCTTGTTATTTAGCTTTTCTTCACTTTGTTTTAGACATCACACTCCAATGGCTAATTAAACATTCTAAATCTAACCGATAAAAGTAATGGATTTGAAATAATACATTTCTCCGATTGATAATAATCTCTAATTCACCCAATGAATAAGTTAAAATACCATCTCTGGCTGGATATTAAACATTATGGACAGTCCGAGTTAATTTTTGATTTACACGTTATTTTTCTCATATATTGGTCATTATGCGAAGATTTAATTAAATTCCATCTGTAATCCCGATATACCTTCGTAACCACTCACAGGAGAATTGAAATAAAAAATCTCATCTTATTTCATTGTGTAATAAATTTCTTTACGGGAATAAACTGTTACATACACAATCATTTTCGTATTCACATTCCTTATATTTACTTCATTATAAACTTGAACTAAACAAAAATATTTCTGTTATCTCACTTCATTGAAAATGTGTATGACTGCTATTTGCTTATTATTTTTGTATGCTTTAGTTGGAAAATGATCAATGTGTAGTAGTAGTATCTTGTTTTTTGCTTCATCTCTAATTATTTAAACTCGGTAGTGGATAAAAACGAAGTGATTACTATTCGTTGTTTCGTTGCTTTTCCATTGAACTAGTGCCGCATTTGTTTTTTCCCTAAATACCTAATTTTCGTTTTACTTTATTCGTGTTTTTACTTCACTAACTCTTTCAAATTAACCTTCCACTTTTTGAATATAGTCGGTTTGTTTTTGTGTCTCTTTTTTGGTCAGTCAGTTTTAATTACAGTAAACCAAACATCAAGCTTCACTGAATGTAATAGTTATTTTTTTAGGGATGCTAGTATTCTCTATTTTCTATGCATAATATACATTAAAGCCACAAAATCAACAGATATAATGTACTCTAATAATTTTTTGTCTTATTAATCATGTTGGTGACAATTTATTTTCGTTATAGATTAAATCTGATGCTAATCTCCTTTTTGGTCTATAATTAGTTCATATATTTTTCTGCATCCATCTGAACATGTTTTTCATTTTGTGATAAGATGCATAGGCAGTAACTTTCAGACTTTTCGTTAAGCGGCTTTAAATCTAACGTAAGCAAGGTAGCTGTAAATTAATAGGGGGGAGAATTACTTGTGAAGTATTGTATTATATTCATAACACATTGAGTGATGACTTCTGAACCGTATACTACTGTACTGAGACTATGATCCATCAATCATTACGTTATAAGTAGTAAGAGCTAAATGATTAATGTTTGGACAGATACATCAATATTGGACCTATTATAAATGTGTGTTGATCCACGTCGCCAAAACACATTAACATAATCAGATGAAGTTAACAAAATATATAGTGGAGTCGAAATAGTGTAGCAAAGATCATGATTAAGAAGACTAAGCGTTGATACTGTGGGTCAGAAAGACAATCGTATATATGAAAGGATACTGACATTCAAGATCTAGAGTTATCGAGCAAATCCCAACCAAATAATCTTCATCTACCAGCACGGCTCAAATCTGCAGTCTGTAACTTCATGGGACAAATCCTGACCATTTCAGTCGATCAAGGTTTACAAGCCCATCCAGCATCTACTTGTATGCAGTATGTAAGCTGGTATACATATAGGTTGTAAGAAATCTAAGAACGGCCGGACAATGGCATGGAATCATCCCATGAAGTCACAGACTTCAGACCTGGGCCATGGTGGTAGATGAAGATTATCTGGTTGGGATCCGCTTGATAACTGCGGTCGGTGGCTGGCATTGGGTAGTTTCCTTGAAAATCGGTCACAATGGTGTGGATTTCATTCACTTATTATCTTCCTTTGAATGCTGTATTTCAGATTTATTGTGCACTTTTCAATTCTCCGTTAAATACATTCTTCTTGAATCATATTCTCCGTGCTTAAGGTTTTTTAATGTTGCTGATGATGCTATTATTTCTCCTTTCGTGTTCACCTTGATACTTTCATCTTTTTATGCTGATGCGGTGTAACAACTTGGATCGATTCACATTTGTCCCAAATACTATGTTGCTTATGACTACATTATGACCAGTTATATATATTTGCTACTGCCAACATCACATTTTGTGTACTCAATATTAAAAAAAATCTTTAGGAACGAGTGAATTAGTGTTTATCCTTAAGTTAATTCACTTGATATACTTTAATAAATAGAAAACAGGAACATTTATGAGATAAAATGAATTCTCAATTCTATTCATGACTTCACATTCACACTATTTATAATACCGGGCGAGATTAATCTGAAAACTAGGTGATTAATAAATCAAAAAGTGTGAATCACTTCTGATTTATATATGATTGAGAAGAATGTAAAGAGAAAAATCACTAGCAATCATTGACCGATTTTGCAATACGTAAAAATCTATAGAAATTAGTCTCAACAGTTGGAACCAGAAAGGCAACACTAAATAAAAAATCACTTTCCAATTTTGCACAGTTCACGGTAACATGTAAGAAATACCATAAATTCATTTTATCCTACACATATTTATGTATAAATTTTGTTCTGTATTATTTATTGTTTTGATGGTTATAAATGACAAAATAATTTGAGAAACAGATTTACAAAATAACTCAATCCAAAATTGCACATGATCTGATTCTTATTTAAAAATAACTTCATGATATCATCCTCTCTAGTATAAGATTGGGAAGTGCTAGATTCAATCCTGTGTGTACTATATTTTGGATGTGTTCACAACTAGTACGCCACAATGTCGGATTCGTAAACTAGATGATTAGCAAATCATTCTATCCAAATGTTGTCGATTTGTGATGAAAATTATTTTCCGAAAATGTTTATGTGAACTAAAGTATTGACTTGGAATGTTGTTACATCATTATTACTTCTAGTTCTTTTTTTACAATAGAGTTTCAATATTTCAACCTTGAGACTATGAATAATAAGCTTTTTCTCCACATTGTCGTTTAGTAAATAATACTACGTTATACTGTAATATATTGACAAACAGGGAGAATTTTTTAATATATTGTTACATTATCTTAGTTCTATATTAATCTTAGAACAGGATAAACTTGAAAGTTTACATTCTAACTCACTGTAATTCGTGTTCTGTTTTAAATTCTATATGATAAACATTTGGTTTTGATTCAGAGTGATTTCTTATTCAATATAATCTTCATTTTATTTTAGTGTGACATTTTTTGTAATAATTTAGTTCAAACTTCATTCAGTATAACGTGCAACACGTATTTTGTTTTAATAACTATTCATTTTAGTATTTTTTTCCTATTTCGATTATTTGTGACATTCATAAAATGTCAATAAAATCCATATATAAATGAACATATTTTGATTAAAGTGATCTTCATGCTGTTGATGGGTGAATAAGTATGATGATTAGAAGTATTCGGATTAATGTGCTAACTAGGACTTCCCGCAATTTATAGCCAATAGAACTAGATGAGCACAAATGAACGTATTATATTTGGAATTCGTTTTAAGCGAAAAATCAAGTACAAATACTACAACCACCACAGCTTAAATGGAAATCAAACTTTCTTCAATCGATTGTGTCGTCGCCTTAGGTCCATCATGTGTCTGTTCGGTTGTGTATACGTAGAGACTCTATATGGTATAGAATGTAATCATTATTATAAAAGTTAACAACCGAAATCGGAATGGACTCACCTGGAATGGCATTTGCTTAACATGTAATCTAATCATTGGTACTTAGAATTCAAATAACATTTCCAAATATTCTCCACCGCAATCCCCGCGACTAGCTGAAATCCATTTTCACGATAACACGTAACTTCTGCAGACTCTAAGCACTTCACATTCGAGCCGAGAATTCTCGCTTCTAATAACTTAGATGGAGTCACTTTCACTGCAGAATGTTTAGCATTTCTATATTGCAGTAGAAATATGTCTACTCCCCTCTCCAGTTCATCAAATGTTGCAGCAGAGATGGAATTAATGCCAGTCTTTAATGTTCTGACGAATTTTTCTGCCTGACTATTAGGACAAGGGTGTCTGGGAGCAGTGAACAGAAATATTCTGAATCAGACGACGCAATAAAGAAATAAGTCTCTGATCATGATCTGCTTTATCAGAACCATGAGTAATAAAACCATCTTGATAAGATCCAACACCTTTAGGTTTACTGGCTACATTATTCATCACTTATTGAAATATGGCTGGAGAACAACTTAAACAAAATAATGAAAGTTATATTTTAATAGACCAAAATGCGTGTGAATTGTTGTCAAAATAGGTGAAGATTGATCTAGGGAGACTTGAGGGTAAACACCTTTCAAGAATACCTCAGAACCATGAAGTCAATTAAACATCTCCAGCTTCCATCATCATACACGTTTGCTCCAACAAGTGGGGGTTCATTATAATCCGTAATCACTGCATATTCTAGGGGTCGTTCTATGACTTCAAGAGCGTAACAAGAGGAGAACCCCACGCTGAAGACTAAATCGGTTCAATTACACTTTTAGCACACAATTCATTCAATGACTTATGTACTACTTCTTGAAGACCATAAAGAATTATTCATCTTTTAAGAAAAACAGAATCGCCCTGTACTTGAAGTTTTATAGCCCGAATTCTCGTCCCACAACTTCACTTGGCACACTCAGCTATCAAATCTTCAGGTAAAGCATCAGAATCTTCTCTAAAAACTAATAAAGACAACTCCACTTAAGGTCTTCAAATTCTTTAAACCAAATATTGATAGTCCTGCTTCATTAACTAACAAATCAATATATTTATAAAGAATTATCGTCTCTAATTAACAATTAACAGCATCCTCGTAGACAGTTTGTATTCAGTAATCCTCAATACTTAGATCTCAATGGGTAGTACTACAACGTTAGAATTTAAAGACTTCAAATTCTTGAAAAAGACAGTGAACTCCATATCGCCTGTGTGAACAATAGTCATGGAATGAACCAAGGTAGGTATATAATGGCTTCTCAATATGGAAATTACCTTCCAAACTCGTAGATTGAGATAAGTGATCATTAGAAACACCCAGCTCAATAAAAACCGAACTACTGGATTTACCAACCCTG